CAAGCATTGTTAATTTCCTACCACTTTGTTTGTAACTCCGTATTGTCTGTACTGTTCTTTTGCTATTTTGTAAAATGTTGTCTGTCTGTTAATGTTTTCCTCCTTTTATTTTTAAAATTAAAAAAAATAAGCATTGTACTTGGGAAAAAAGAAATGTATCCTTACTACTGAGATTAGAATCTCTGTCCAGCATTCTCTTATCACTTAGATAGTTAATATTGATTAATAAAACTATAGCCACCAATTCTTTATGCCACTCACATCAAGAGGTGTGCCCTGTGACCCCCCACACACAGCACAGTGTGGTCTCTGCCAGTAGAATATACAAGAGTGACACTAGGTGACTTGTAAGGTTCAGTGGAAAAAGCCAAGCAGCTTCCGCCTGAGCCTGAGAGTTTTGGAGACCTTTGTAGACTTGAGATGCTCTATGAAGTCTAACTCTTTTGAGATGGCTGTGCTGTAAGGAAGGACAGGCCACATGAAAGAGCCTCACATAGGGTCGCTTGCCAACAGCTCCAACCAATGTCCTAACCAAAAGCCAGAATAAACTGCTAGCAGTGATCAGCCTGTGAGTCTTCCCAGCTCAATTCCTAGACACGATAAACAGGGCCAACCCATCCCCTGTGTCCTGTCTGTGTTCCCGATCTATGAAAGACTTCAGCAAAGTAATTCTGTGGCCAGCTGGGGTAACACTTCCCAATAGTGCTGTCCCTGGTCTTTAGTCTTTCTCAGACAAGGTAGGAGCTATTCCACTTTCTCCTTCATGCTACCGGAATACGAAAGAACAAAATAGTTCAAAGAACTGCTTTGGTTCATGATGATTCTGGCCTGCCTAGCAGGGGGCCATGCAAGACATACAGCCATGCCCACTCGTGCCTCCAAATGTACTAAATGTGGAGCAGCAGGTGAAGGAAGAGGACAGCTGAGGCTGTAGCCAGGGCTTTTTGCTGAATCTGAAGCTGTGGCCCTTTCTGCCTTGTATTTTATATCCTCGCTGCTTTCCACAATGTTGGGAATGTTTTTCATAACTCCATTCCTAAAATTTCTTCGTGTAATCAGGGTATTCAGAGATCATGGAGAGCCAGCCTGAGACTGGCTGAGGTTTCCCAGACATTGTAAGTCAGCCACGATGTGAATCTATTAGAAACAATCAAATGAAAAGTCTAGAAATGAAAAACACAATAACTAAAATTAAGAACTTGATGGATTTAAGAACAGATTTTAAAGAGCCAGGGTTTAACAGCAGATTAAAAAGTCGCATAGAAGCCAGGCGTGGTGGCACATGTCTATAATCCCAGCATTCTAGGAGGCTGAGGCAGAAGGATCACAAGTTCAAGTACATCCTGGGCAACTTAGTGATTTAGTGAGAACCTGTCTGAAAATCTTAAAAAGGGCCCTGGGTTCAATACCCAGTTATAAGAAAAACAAAACAAAACAAATTATTAGTGAATTGGAAGATATTTCAGAGAGAGATATCCAGAATAAGTAATAGAAATGGGGGGATGTGAAAAGTATAGAGGAAAGGGTAAAAGACAAAGCAGGTGCATGTAATCAGATTTCTAAAAGGAGAAGACAAAGAAGTAGAGGAAAGGCAACATGGGAATGATCAACTGCTGAAGAAAAACATGAAGAAGCCAGGTATGGTGGTGCATGCCTATAATCCCAGCACTTGGGAGGCTGAGGCAGGAGGATGACTATGAGTTTGAGGCCAGCCTGGGCTACATAGTGAGTTCAAGGCTAGCAAGCACAGATTCAAGAAGTCCTGCAAAGCCCAACTAGGATGCACAAAAAGAAATTCACAACTCAGCACATCATGGAAAGACTGATGATAGGAGTCAAATGTAAAGTAAAAAAATATTGAGGGGCTGGGGATTTAGCTCAGCGGCAAAAGCACCTGCCTGGCAAGCGCAAGGTCGTGAGTTCGGTTCCCGGTACCGGAGAAAAACCAAAAAAAACAAAACAAAACAAAACAAAAAAATATTGAGAAAAAAAGATACTACTTTCAAAGGAACAATAATGAACTAACATTGAAAGCCCAAACACAATATCATCAAAGTACTGAAACAAAATTGCTGTCAACCTAGAATTCTATATCCAGTGAAAATATCATTCAGTATTAAAGGTGAAATGAACACATTGTCAGATAGATAAAAATTGACAGAAGTCATTATATTTGCTCTTCACTAAAAGAAACACTTAAAGGGGATTGTTCATGTAGGAAGGAACTATTTGTAGGTAGAAGCTTGTGGATGTGTAAAAGAATGAATAGAAGGAATAAATAATGTGGGCAAATTGAAATTACATAATTATATAGTTATATAATTATATAAAATACTAATAATACTGTATACTAAAATAGTGTAGGTGAAAAGTATTTTAAGTAAGTTAATACATTGTATTTTAAGTTGTATTACTGAGAAAGAGGGTAGAAGTAACTTCTGGGTTCTTCTTAAAGGACTAGTAAAAGGATAAATAACAGTCAAATCCATCCAGAGGAGAAAGCCAGTGCTCTTCCCCAAAAGAGCAATTCAAACACTCCAAAATAGGGAAGAGGAAGGATAAAAGGCAGAAAAATGGGTAAGACATTGTCTTGGTTACTTTTATTGCTGAGACAAAATACCCAACACCCAAAATTAAGGAAGGAAAGGTTTATTTAGCTCACAGTTTGTAGAGGTTTCCGTCCATAATCAGCTGGCTCCAAGGCAGAGTGGCACATGGCACAGGAGCAACACGTCAAGGAGGCAGAAGACAGCAAAAGCAGCAAGAGCAAAATGGGGGAAAGCAAGCCTCTTTTTCCTCCCTTGTATTGTAAGCAGGCTACCACCCCCTTGGGTGGATGTAGCACTCACACAATCTCCATGCCCTTGGTTTGCACAGGATGAGTTTGTTTACGAAGTAAGGACCCTGGCCCCCTGTTGGGTCGCCTAGTTAAACTTCTAAACTTCTCAAATTGACACAGTTACAGACTTGTAAGATAGAAGATCTAAATTAAAAGAAATTGGTGATTAAATTAAGTATAAGTAGAAAGATGCTCATATTATAAAACAGATTGTCAAATGGTTTTTGTTTGGCTTAGGTTGGGCTTTTTTCTTTGTTTTTGTTTTTTCGTATGTAGTCTTGCTGTGTTGCTCAGGCTAGTCTGAAACACACCCCCTCAGCCAGTCTTCCTCACTCGCAAGGAACTAGGGCTACAGACATGTACCACTGTGCCTAGCTTGCTGGGTGAATTTTTAAAAATTTAACTATTTCCTGTTTACAAAAGATATTCCTAAAGAAATCATGGGACAAAATTTAGATTATAATAGAATTCAGCACATATTTAGTATTGGACAATGTCAAAAATATACCCAAGCTAAACTAGTGCTACTAAAAGTATACCTAGAAGGAAATACAGCACGTTAAATGTTTGTGTTAGAAAGTGAAGAAAGCTGAAGGTTCATGAACTAATGATCTATCTTAAGAAATGTGAAAAAGAACAGGAAAAAGGGCAGAATGTTATAAAGTAAAAATATGCTAGAAGAGACCAACAGTATGTTGCCTCTGAAACTTGTATTGATACCTGTGATTTCAACTCAAGCATCACCTGCCTGCCTGAATGATGACCTTTGTTTGGGGAGAATGTTTCCATATTGACACTTTCAGTCAAAGCTCATGAATCAGAAAAAATACCTGCAGGTCAGAGCTGATAGCAGAAAAGAATTATTCTTTTCCCTTTTTCTCAACTCGGAGAAGTTCTGCTAACCCAGTGTCTCCTTTGTCTGTTCCAGGACAACTGTGTGTAGTAAAGGGAGTGGTGAGCAGCAGATCATGAGAGCTATTGATGTGCGAATTGAGAACAGCCCAGTTCCTGGAGGCGTGTACAGTGCCCTGTGTATTAAGGATGAAGGTCAGTGCCTCTGTCTTTGTAAAGGTCCTGGAGGGTGCATCTTGGCAGTTGCTGCCTTAGAATTGGTTCAGTAAAAGGAGTCTTTGAGGTGAGGACTCTCTGAACGTGCTTTACAGAGGACTTCTAAGAAAAGACAATTGGGAAGTGAAGAATTGGATAGGAAAGGAAAGGTGGCCAAGCAGAGGTGCAAAATTAAGTGCAGTTCACGGGGATGGTAAGGTAGGGGTAACTTTGGCCTGGTCTCTCAGGAAATGTCTGGCAGCAGAATAAGGGAGCTGGAGTATTCATACCACTGCACCTGTCAGTCCTTGGCAAAGGGCTACTTCAGGAGATATAAATTCCTATGCTCTTCTGGGTTTTTGTTTGTTTGTTTGTTTGAATAAGCAAAAGGTTCCAGTAACCTAAATGCTACCCTCCAGCAAAGAAGCACAGGTGCCCACCCAGAGCCCCTGTGCATGGGAATGGTCTGGTCTCTATCTAGGGATAAAGGCAGAGCCCTGGCAACATCTGCTCCAGCTGCTGATGCTCAGAGCCTGCACTTCAGTCTCTTGTCATAGGAAATAGCACAGCAAAAAGAAAAAGTACTTTTCCTCAGAAGGAAATCTATAGGACTTAGAAAACAGCTTTTAGGAAGGAAAATTCAACTTCCTTCTGGAAAATCAGCTGAGCGGTTGGGGAGAAAACCATAAAGAAGTCTCCGGGGCAGCATTTCATGAGCACCAAAATAAGTACTTCTTCATTATCAGAAACACATGCCACAGAAGGGGGATTTCATGCTAATGGAGAAAAAGTCAGTTTCTTAATCATTAGTTGTAGAAATCAGCACAGGTTCTGCTTGGCTGCACACTGCTCATCTGGGAAGTATTAAGAAAACACTGATGCCTGGGTGCCAGCTCTAGAAATTCTGCTGGAAATATTTTGGGCATTAAGGATTTTTTTTAATCCCAATGATTTTAAAGCACAGCCTATGTTGAGAACTACTTTTATAATGCAGGATTTCCCAAACTTCTCTGATCTTTAGCAATAGCAAGCAGATGCACTTGTTAAAAATATAAATCCTCAGGCTGCACCCCAAATGAGCCAAATCCCCAACTCCAAGAAAGAGGTTAGAGGAGCTGGTAAATGTAAAAGCCATGGTGAAACTTAGGCCCTGCCACGTGATTGTCAGTTTATTAATGAGAAGCTTCTCTTCTGCTATGGGGTCTCTGTCCAGGGAGATTCTTCCTTAGCTGATTTCCATGGAGGAGTGTAGGAAAGCTCTTGATCTGTTCAGTTAATCAGCAAAAAGATGTGGCACTGTGATTTGTCCTTGGCCTTTTGTAAAACCACATAATTAAAATGATCCTTTGAATCACAAACAGGCAGAATCAGGTCCCTGAAGGAGATAGGACACAGCTGGAAGAAAACCAGAGCAATTATTTCTTCAATGATCTGAAATTAATAGAGTCCTAGCTCTTTCCCCTGATGAATGAGAAGCATCAGTTAGCTATTGTGATGTAGCATACCACTCCAAAAAGTAGTGCCTTAAAAGCACTATTTATTTAGCTCACAACTTTGTGGACCACTGATTTATGTTGCTCTTCTGCTAGTCTTGGCTGGATTTGCTAATGGGAATACAGTAAGCTGCTTGTTAGCAGGTAGCTTTGCTGCTGAGAGTGGGGACTGAGCCATGTGTTCCTCATCATGCAACAATGCAGCCTGCAATTTCTACCTCAAGGTCATCACAAGTTGTGTGAATTTAAGTTTGTGCCTCTTTTGTCCACAATCATAGTGCATAAAGCCAGGGATAGGAAACATTCATTCATGTCCTATAGGACATGATGATCAAAGCCATGATAGTGACTCCATATTTGAGTTGTGGGCAAACCAAGGTAATGTACCTCCTGATATGTTGCATGTAGAAGAACAAATTGATTAAATAACATTATTGCCAAAAACCGCATAACTCAGTTTAATCACCAGGCAACATTAACAAAGCTGATGTGTTACTTTTCATTGCTGAGACAAAATATCTAATGCCCAAAGTTAAGGAGGAAAAAGTTTATTTAGCTTACAGTTTGTGGAGGTTTCAGTACTTAATCAGCTGGCTACAAGGTGGGATGGCACATGGCAGAGGGACAATAGTTTATGGCAACAGAATACAGCAAAAGCAAAATGAGAGGAGAGAGAGACAGATAGACAGAGATAACTTTCTGTCCTTATATTGTTTCCAATCTACCAGGATTAAGGTGGTGCCAATCCAATCAGTGGACTGATTCAGTAATCACCTACCTTTAATCCCAGCATCCTTAATCCCAGCATTGCACTATGAATCAATCACACACTCTAGATTCAACCACCTCTGAAGAAAACACCCTATGACTGCATGAGGCTTTGGGGGGATATCTAGACACAAAGCTTAACATTTTGCCCTTGACCCCCTAAAGACTCATGCAGATAACTTTATGGAAATGGCATTCAGTCCATCTGTAAGAGTTGCCAAAGTCCAAACAGTTTCAGCATTGCTGAAAATTCCAATCAAAAGTCTCCTCTGAGGTTTAAGGCAAACTCTTAGATGTGAGCCCCTATACAAAGAAAAGAAAGTTAAACACTTTCAACATTCAGTGGCACAAGGTAGACTTTTCCATTCCAAAAGTTACAAATGAGGCCTTCTGAAATCTGTGTGGAAGCCTTCCTAACCCCACAACTCTTGCATTCTTCATGTGCCTAAAACCAGCACTATGTGGATTATGCCAAGGTCTGTTGCCAGCTGGAGCAGTAGCCAGGCTTCATTTTCTCTTGGCTGTAAGGGTCAAGTGCCTGGATCACTGAGCACTGTGAATCCAATGCTGAGGAACAAATTCTCTATGCTGCCACCCTTCTGGAACATAGTGCTCTGGGGCTTTCTTCTCAAAACAAAGTCTTTCCCTTTTGCAATTTTGAGGCTGCAAAGGGTAAGAGACCTGCTGCTTCTTGTGATGCCCTCAGGCCATCTTTTTTATTCTCCTGTTCCTTCTTAGCGATTAAGATTTCCTCTGCTTTATCTTTGCAGTCTACATCTTTACTTTCTGACCAAACTCACATTTTAAATCACCCTGCTGGGCTTTGTGCTCTTGATTCTCAGCGTTGATCTGGCTAAAAGCCCCCAAAAGTAGTTATGCCATTGCCTCAACATTCAATTCCTTAAAATTTATTTAACAAGATTAGTTAGTTTGCTACCCTTAATCTCAGTCCCAGGCAAAGTCTCTGGACATAAGCAAAATGCATACAAACTTTCTGCAAATCCATAACACACATTGTCTGGAGTCCAACAGCCAATAACGTCCTTCTTCCCAGCAGAAACCTCCTGAGTCTGGTCTTTATCAGCAGGATTTCAGCTTTCTAGTCTTCTGAGCTCTGACTAGAATCTCCCACACAGTTTAGCCTAAGGCATTCCAGTGCTACTTCTTCAGCTGGCATCTCCACACCTTTCCAGACTCTTCCCACAAGCCATCTAAAGGCCTCTGAACCATATGGTCAGGTACAGTCATAGCAATAACCCCACTCTTGGTACCAAATTCTGTTAGTTACTTTTCCTCATTACTGAGACAAATACCTGACACCCAAAGTTAAGGAGGAAAAGGTTTATTTAGCTAACAATTTGTGGAAGTTTCAGTCTATAATTGGTTGGCTCCAAGCAAGGTGGTACATGGCAGAGGAGCCATGCTTATGGCAGCAGAAGATAGCAAGAGCAACAAAACCCTATGACTGCATGAGGCTTTGAAAGGCTATCTAGACACAAACCATAACAGCTCAAATTGAGGGGCATCCTACTCTTTAAAAAAATGTTGATGATAAAAAAATCAAAAGCAAAAGAAAGATAAAGGCACAGCAACATTTCTAGATTAAAAAGCATAAAAAGACTTGACAGTGAAATATAGCTTTTGATCTTGCGTCATATGGACTAGGAAAAAGTAGCTATATTTGATAAGATTTGAATGCAGATTATGAATTTAAAATAGTATGGTATCAATATTTAAATTTCCTGATTTTGGTAACTGTATTACACTTATGTAAGAGAGTATCTCTGTTCTTAGGAAATGCATGCCAAAGTTTTTAGAGGCAGGAGATACCATGTATATTGTAGGTATATATATATTCTCAAATGATTCAAAAAAGAATCATAGGTATCAATACACACATATACACATAGAAGCTGCTTCCACTTATATACACATATTCGAGGTGTGTGTGTGTGTGTGTGTGTGTGTGTGTGTGTGTGTAGAGAGAGAGAGAGAGGAGAATTATAAAGGTGGGATAAATAATACACATTAGTAAACATGGGTAAAGGGTATGTGGGAGTTCTTTGTTCTTACAATTTTTCTATAAATATGAAATAACATAAAAATTTCAAAATCAATGATCTATATGCTCCTTCAAAATCATCAATAATAACATCAATAACAAATAAAAATAAACTCTTCATCAATTCTCAGCATTGCAAAAAATAAAACTAAATAAACCCTTCAAAACACAAAAAGCTCTGAGGCATAGGGAGTCAAGTACATGATCAAAGTTGGAAGGTGCTAAGGCCCAACACCAGAAAGCCCAGCTGTACACAGTCTACGTGTTCAAAGGGCAGAATATCAGCACCAGCAGTGGCTTGCAGGCTCCCTTTGTGTGACTCTCAAGTGTGACCTAGACAGAGCAATATGCTGGGAGTCATGGCAGACTAACATTATGTCTTTCCTGAAATGTTGAATGTATATCAGGTATGTGACACCTACCCATGTGTGTGTGTGAAGACTGGCTGTCATCTTAATACAACAGGCACAGTTGCAGCCATTGCAGTCATGTCCTTGAAGGCCCTGCATCTGAGGGCACTTTGCTTGGGCCTGGCTTACCCCTCCCTCCCCACCTGGTCAGAGGGCCACACCAGGAGAAGACTGGAGCCTTGGGCTGTAGCATTGACCAGTGAGGAGGCTTCAGGTAAGCCATGAAGGAGATTCAGGAAGGCATGTTGAGGTGGGATGAGGGTCATA